TGGATGGATGGATGGATGGATGGATGGATGGATGGATGGATGGATGGTTAAAAAACTTGTAAGTTTTAAACAAAGCTGTTTTACTTTGTGTTTGTTGAGGATGACTCTCAGCTGCCACCACACCATATTTTAGATTGAGACCTGTACAGCTGGATGGGTTAAAGTATTTTTATTTTAAGTGTCATTTTTGTGCTGTTTAAGGTCAGTTGGCTGCAGCAGCTGTCTTAATTGATCTAAAAGGTAGTTATAGATGTACATCCAGTGATTACTTTCTGAGATTTATTAACGTCTATCAAGTGGTTAATGAGACATTTCGCCAATATGTGGACACACACACACGCACACACACAAATACATAGACACAAACATGATTGCTCAACTTGTATGGGGTCAGGCAATAAAAATATAGGAATAAGAAAATTTACTTTGTCACACCCAAATAAAATGAATCAAATTTAGTATAATAATAATAATAATAATAATAATAATAATAATAATGATTGTTGACCTTGCCCAAATATGTTTAATAACAACAACATAAAAGCTTTAAATGGAAAGAAGGACAAGTTCAAGTAGCTTCATTGTCATTTGCATCACACGTGGTACATGAGGTGGAATGAAATTATGTCCCAGTTACATCCAAAAATAGCAAAAGTATAAAATATAAAAAGAAAGAGCATATAAGGATCTAAGATATACGCTAAACGAACACTAAACAAAATGCTAAAAGATCTAAGATTTACTCTAAACACTAATAATGTAAAATAATACAGTATATTAAACGGCAGTCTGAACGAGTCTGTAGTGAGCAGATAAGTATGAGTGAATACAGCAGATAGTCATGAAGCTGTATGGATTTTCACCACAAATTTTAGGTCTATGCAACCAGTTGGTATTTTTATTAACCTTTATTTAACCAGGCAAATCCCACTGAGATCAGATCTCTTTTGCAAGGAGGCCTGGACCTGAAGGCAGCCTAACATGCATGTTTTAAACTGTGAGAGGAAACAGGAGTACCTGCAACAAAACGTGCAAAAACGAGGGGAATGTGCAAACTCCACACAGAAAGACCTGAGGTCCAAACCAGTGATTGAACCAAGGATCTTCTTGCTCTGAGGCAACGGCACTAACCACTAAGCAATCATGCAGCCAGATGTGTATTTTGAGTGTGTTTAATGATAACTTTGTATAAATTGAATGGAATCTGTTTTACTGTGTTAATAATAAATAAGCATTGATTGGCTGCACACTCTCACACTTCTGCACGTCGCTCTTTAACTTTTGTTTGCAGGTTTTTATCCTTTTCTGAAAATCTACCAGTCTTTACAACTAGTGTACACATCAGGAGTTTAGTAAGTATATTATCTGTGTGTGCATGTGTGTTTTCTACGCCCTGTCTCTTTAACACTATCCATGTTTAAGTGTAACAGAGTCTGTGTTTGCATTAAAGTGAATGTTGTCTTCCAGGGTTTTATCCAACTAGAACCGCTGGTTTAATGTTGTCTGGACAGTTTTCATATTTTTGATGTATATGTCCAGTGATCCTCAGAGCTCACGGGCGAGAAAGCTGTGTGTGACTCTGGAGCCAGCACTACTCTTAAAGGGGGACATTATGGTGAGACATGAATTATTAAGAAATCTATGTCACTGATGCAAACTATTCATTCATATAAATCCCATCACGTTATTTTACTGTCAATTTTATATCTAAAAATAACACGTAAGCATGCATTTGATTTTTTTAAACAAAAAATATGCTAATTTTACAAGCAGCATGTTTGAAATGCTAAGACGGTATTGCTTTATTTTGAACAAGCATATTAACGACAAACTAGTCATCACAGACAAAAAAGGAGTCCTCAAATTGTCTTCCTAACATATTTATTTGGCCAAATGTGTTTTATAGTAATTATTATTATTTATGTTACATTCAAGTATCCACAAATCGGAAACAAAGTGGTAAGTAAGTTGGAAAAAGCGTTATTCTGTGTATTTTTTTTTTTTTTTATTTGACTTGATTTTGTGGACAGTAGATGAAGATACCTCGTTGTGTCCATAGTTTGCATTTAATTTGTAGCTCTTGGATTCCTTTGATTAAATCGAAGTGACCCCTCAGAAAACAAAGATGGTGTCCACCTCTAATCGAAGTTGTGCAGTCAGTGGTTTCTTGCAGTCAGCATTCAAATTTGCTTCTGAAAAATTGCTTAATTGTTTTTGAAGAACCACAGTGTTGAGCCGTCTCTAGACCTTAAACCTGGGCACATCTCTGCACGTTTTCTTAAGATGAGAAGAACATTTAGTTAACAAGCCGGCACAGCAAACACACTCTGAGACTAATTACCGGTATGTAAGAAATCAAAGGACCAAGCAAACCGAAATCTACATAAAGTTTGTTCCCTTGTCACTGTCACTTGTAGTATTGTACTGTGATCGCTCACCTGACTGTCTGCAGGTGAAGTGCTACCACCGGCGGAGCAGAGCAGCAGAGCGTGAGGTGGTGTTCAGAGTCCAGTTCCACACCTGCACCGTTCATGGTGCTCAACTGTGGTTCGGCAAAACGGAGCTAGACTCAGCCTGTGCAGGTATAAATAACACAGAGCGGTCAGGGAAATGTACTCAACGTCATCACAGAAGTGAAGGGAAAACATGAAATTGATGTATTTTAGTATTTTATCACACCATACTGAGATTTTTTTTCTGTTTTACTTCACTGTATTGTGAGGCGTAAATAAAGGAGCAAAAAGGACATTGCTTTTGTATCTGGAAGAATAAAGACCCACTCTTTCCTCAGACCACTGTTTGTATTTTAAGACTAACAGAAAATGACAGCGTCAGGTTAGATGACACAGAAATGTTTGCTCATGGCCCACTAAACAGCAGTCCCCCTGCAGTTGCTCTAAGTGCTACGTGCTAGCGTATGCATGATTCATAAATGATATCACCCACACTGATGCATGAATATCGAAAAAAAATTGCTTTCAAATATATTTTCTTTTTAACATTTTGCCCATTTTACACATTTAAAAGTAGGAAAAGCAAATATATGTATTAATTCATAACTTTATACCACTACTGCTTTTAGAGAATGTTTTTCTCACGCTTTGCAGTTATGCTCTGGATATTTTTGTCCCTACCTTTATGCTGTCCTTTCTGTAGATGACAGATTCCCTCCAGACGCTACAGTGGAGTTCATCTTCGCTAATGGACCAGATAAAACAAAAGGTTAGAAATATCATCTTCCTGTCAGCCTTTGCATTCATTATTTAATTTATTTTTCCACATGTCTGCTTTCCAAGGTCGAGACTGCAGCAAAGATGACACGTCCATTAAGGTAGACTACAACACCTCAGACCCTGTGATCAGATGGGATTCCTATGAAAACGTCAACCTCCACCACCAGGACAGTGTGGAAAGTAAGAAACATCAAGACAGGCGTCAAATAAAAGCTTTAGCATTCTCAACCGCCACCTTTTATACCAGAGTTTTAAACTAAGATCATTTTATGTTGAGAAATGACTCAATTGTAGCCAAATGAATCAAACTTTTCAAATATGTGTGATGTCATGCAATATTGCAGCACAAATTAAATTTAGATACTACTGCATCAAATTTTAGCTCAATATTAACAGAGTTATCAGCATTTTCGTATTTCCTAGGTTCATTTATAAGAAATTAGGCTGGCTTTTTTTTTTTTTTTTCCAGATATATACCTAATGATTTTTATCTGAAAAGTTTAATTAAAATCCCTCCAGTGGTTCATGAGATATTTTAAACAAACATTTTGGGCAATTTGTTAGAGCTCAAAATATGTATTGGGTTTCAGTTTCAGCTACAATCAAATCAAATTTTAGTTCAACGCCTGTAAAAATGTAACAAGTTATTACCAATTTTGAGTTTCTTAAGGTTAGTCTGCTGTAACAGTCATCCTTAATCAAGTAGACACCCTAAGTTAATCATTTGTAGATGTTGGTCTAAAGATTACTTTCTGCAAATTTCAGTAAAACCTATCCAGTGTTTCATGAGATAATTTGGTATAACAAACAAACAAAAACACAGAGGCAGAGGCAAAAACATTATTGCCCGCCTTCGCCCTTGAGCAGCAAACTTTACATATTAAGCTTTACATCAAAATCTGACAAATTTGTTACCTTTTCTCCATTAGATATCTCTCACACGAGAGGCCCAATAGATGGCAGCTTGTATGCGCAAGTGAAGAAGCGACGTGGACCCAGCACCACTGCCTCACCAACTTCACCCAATGGATACCTCACTACCAGCCCAACTACGAAACCCCAGTCTGCCTCCAAACACCATCCACTCACCCTCAACTCCAGCTCCAGGTGCCCCACAGACACCTCAGGTCACCTGGTGGAAGCCTCGCCACCCATGAACTGTTCTGATGGTCCACAGAGTGGGGAAGTGGAGGATAGAGCAAAGCAGAAGATGAGAGAGAAAGAAAGAGACAGAGAAACAGCCATTCTAGATGATGGGGATACTTCGAGTCCTGGGGTTTTGCGGCATGAGCGATCGTGTTGTACTCCAGCAGCTACAAAGTGTGGTGATACAGGATGGGAGAGGGACAGAGAACTCTGTCTTTCCAACGGCCACTGTCTTGGACATTTCAACAGCATTAAAAAGCACCCAAAAAGCCAAACACTGCCAGCTTTACCATCCAAATCTCTGTCCCCTCCTCCTCATTCAACTCAACTGGAGCTCTGCCATCGCCACAGTACCCATCCTTTACCTGAGTTACCATGGGAACGTCCGCTCAATCTTCCATCAATGCCCTGCCTTCATGGACCATGTTGCCCTTATCCAACCCCTGAACATGTCCACAGTCACAGCCACACACTGCCAGGCTCAAACAGATTTTGCACTGGAGAAGAATGTCATCTCTTCCACTATCCCAGCCATGTGGCTCACCCCTCCCGCCCACCACAACCTGGAAGCCCTTACAGAGAAATCTTCTTCAGCACTCCTACATCATCCTCTTATTGCTCCTGTCAGGACTGTACCAGCAGGCGAGAGCAACAATCGGCCTCAGTCAGAAGGTTCCACCATCCACACCAGAACCACTCAGAAAACTCACACTGGTCCCAAAGAGTCGGGCTACAACAGACAAGAGAAACACCTCCAATTTGGGAAACTGAAAAGCCTTGGGAGTTTATGAGGGAGGCAGAATTCTGGCCGTGCAAGCCATCTATGCCAGCATTTCACCTCTGCCACTCGCCTTTAGACCAGGTTCCAAATCCAGAGCAACCTAGAATTGCCATTGCACCTCACCAGAACTACCCCGTCCCCCAGTCATTGATGGATGCAAGAGATGGTGCCAGCAGTGGGTATCACACACCTTTACAGCCCCGCCACTCCTGTCCCTGTTCGCCATATCTGTCATCCCCGTCTGAAAGCCGTGAAAGCCGAGGTTATGTCTCAGGATACCATTCTGGATCAGCCTCACCTCAACCTGACAGTAGCCCATCTCCTGGAAGAGGAAGGTTTCCTGATATCCCTTTAGGATCTGGAGACCAACTGCACTCTGAGCACCACAAAAGTGAGTATCAAGCTTCTTCTTTTTGATTCTTGTTCCCGCACAACTTTTCACACTGTTTCATTCCTTCTTATCTCTCTTATCAAAGTGGAAAAAGTCAAGACGGATGCAGAAGATGGTGTTTCTCATGATTCCGAGGGTAAATGTGACTCTCTTGGTCAGTCAAGCACCCCTGGAGTGGACTCTGATCATGACTACACACTTATTGGTAGCAGCAGCCCAACTCACACTGAAGACAGGCAAGTGAAGTCTCCCTGTAAACTATCTTTGAAATGTAGCTGCATTTATCCAGATACATGGAACATATTTAATTTTCTCTCTACTTTTTTATCAGTGTAAATGCTGACAGCCCCCTTCAAAGCCAAGAAACTGCTGCAAATCTGGAGTCCAATACAAATACCATCAAGTCCATCAAATCAGTACAGTCAGAGACACAGACTTCAACCATATCTGAAAACTCCATATCCAGAGAATCTTCTCATAGTCCCGATCATACAATTGAAGCTGCTAAAGCCACAACAAACACAGATAGAAATACCCAATCAAACGCAACAAACTATGCTACTGTCATCATCACTCCAGTCCAAGTGCAACTCAATGGATCTGCCCTCGCCATCGATGCCCAATCCAACCGCTCCCCAAATTCCCTCAGTGGCTCCCCAGATTTGCAGTCATCTCCTCAAAACTCCACATTTGCTGCAGACACAGCAGGACAAAGGCTGACACCAGACAGAGATGGGTCAGCTGACACCAAACCCCCATCACCTGTACCTGATGGATATCACACACCCAACTTTCCCTTAGCATCATACTACTACTCTTTACTAAACGTTCCCCATGTACCGTACACTGGGTACACTGCTGTAACAATCCCCCCTGTCCAGCCGCCGCTTCCAGAGAAGAAACGATTTTCCTCCACTGCAGCATCCCTGAACGGACACAATGCTCTGCTTAGAGTCTCCTCAGCTCCTTCCCCAATGCACCATGTTACTTTCTCTCCTGCAGTGAGCGAGCAAAAGAGGGGGTCCACAAAACACAGCTGTTCAGAAGAGGCGGACATCAAGGTTAATTCAAAGTTTGTTCAGGACAGCTCCAAGTACTGGTACAAACCAGGTATCACCAGAGATCAAGGTGAGAGTTTATCATTTGCAAACCACCTGATCAGCAAATGTTAGGTGCTAAATTTAAAATGTTAATCTAGTGTTTCTTCTGTACATAAGTGATAATTGATATATCTTTCATCACAGCCATTGCTGTTTTGAAGGACAAGGAGCCAGGGGCTTTTCTCATTCGAGACAGTAACTCATTCCAGGGTGCTTATGGATTGGCTCTAAAGGTGGTTACTCCTCCTCCTAATGCCAATATCACTGGAAACAAAGGTATTCACTGCATTTCTTTCTTACATGCCAAGAGCTTAAGCCATGAAGTCCATTCTCAGCTTAATTGCTCAAATTTATTGTGAGTCTAGAAGCTTGAGTTAGGATGCTTCCAGTTCTTTCTGGAGCGCAGAGCATTAAATGTGTGACGGATGTCTCCCTTGTATCATTTACAAAATATAATGAATTAACTCACATTAGTAATACTTTTTTGTGGTTATTTTCTAAACTAATTACAAAGTTGCTGTGCATCATCATCAATATTGGGAGTAGTGGCGCAGAGGTTAGAGGAGGTGGGCCTGTGATCGGAAGATCGCCGGTTCACTCCCCGGTACCAACAACATCAAAAATGTGGGTAGGGTAGGTGAAGTACCCACACTTGCCCCCACCCTCACTTGCCTCACTCTGGGACCATGAGCAAGGCCCTTAACCCCCATCTGCTCCCTAAAAAGGTCTCTCTTGAAAATGAGTTCTCGTGGCTCAATAAGACTACCTTTATAAATAAAGGCTAAATGAAAAAAATATATATTACCTCGGCCGTGCTTAAATTGTAAACCAAACAATGCCGGAATGCAAACAACGGGTGTGTGTGTGTGTGTGGGGGGGGGGGGGTCTTTTTGACATTTTGATCACTGTTATTTTGATAAATTGGCGCTGTTGTTTTGATATGTGATGTATAACATGATTACTCATCAAACATTTCTCTTGGATTTTTAATAAATAATCAAAATTTTATTAATGACCCTCTTAAACTGTAAAACTGATTTGCAATTTACCAGTCGTTTTGCTGTTTAATTATATTTTTGTGTTTTTTATTAAATTGCCCCTGACTGTACTTTTATGGGTGGATATTTTTAAGGGTAAAAGTGGAAATGCTTACTTGAAGGGGCAGCTTTTATGTGATATTAAGAAGCTCGTAAGTGGCTGTTGTGTTTAAAATTAGTGTTTATGTAATTATTTTCAGATTACATATCTAGTATAAGTTTTATTCATTCAATGCTGTCAAATTTGTTCATAACTTTATCATTAGTAAGCCCGAGAGTTACTGGATCCAAGCAAACAGTTACTGGAACACACCCTGTCAAAATAAGAGAGTTCCTGGATCCAGTAGGATCTGGCTTAAATTAAGCTCTGTACATCGGCAATAAATCTGTTTGTTGTTGTTTAAAACCAGCAAGCGAATGGTTGCACACTAACGTCATCTGTTCTTCACATAAATGACACAGACATGTAGTGCAATACCTGTAAATTGACAGAATTAAAGTCATTTTTGTGTTGGCTAATTTTGATTATCTGTGGCAGCCACCATGAATGAAGCTGATGCCAAAAACTAATCAGTTTTAGATGTGCATCTACTGTAATGTTTACTTCCTGAGTTTCATTCAAATGTGTCCAGTGGTTCTTGAGATATTTTGCTAACAGACATGTGCATTTGACTTCAATAGGCAATGGCAACATTGTAAAAGCAGATCTTTTGCAGTCAGCTAGTGCTCAGAGTGTGTTGATGAATGAATGTGTGATGAAGTGGATCTAACATCTGGTGAAGAACAGACAGACACTCAGAGTTATTCCTTCATTTATTAGAGAGACGTGTGACAGCATGACAGTCTGCCTCGTTTTCCATCCTCCCCTCCTTTTTCCCAGGGGACCCTCTGGAACAGCTGGTGAGACACTTCCTCATCGAGACAGGGCCACGGGGAGTGAAGATCAAGGGCTGTCAGAATGAATCCTACTTCGGTCAGTACTGTGGTAGACAATGCAATGATAATATGATTTTCAGATTAAGTTACACATGAAGCATCATTTAAACGTTTAGACTTATTTTCTTTGTTTTTTTGGTCTCAGGAAGCTTATCTGCTTTGGTGTACCAACACTCAATTACTCCCATCTCTTTGCCATGTGCCCTAAGAATTCCAGAAAAAGGTAAATTTAGCTAAATTAGGTTTAAATGTGAAAAATATCAACATTGTTTCCCTGTGGAGTAACAACTATACACCTTTGTCATCCTAACAATATTGTTACTGCACAGCCAAAAGAAAGTCCATATCTTTAATAGTGGTGTTCTGTGAAAAAAATTTGAATGAGTAATATCTTACCTGTTGTAGATAGTTTTTTGAATGACCTCACTTTGAAAAAAAAAAAGTTTGATTCTGATCGGATGGATGAGCTAATGATGAATTCGAATCCAACAGATTGTTGCTGTCTTAAAACAACTCAAATCTCAAAAAGTCAGAGCGATGCTATTTTAAAAGGCTTTACACCACGATCAGTCTTCCTTACAAACGTATTTACATAGAATTCAAAGGTTGTTTGTTTAAATAAATAGCGGCAGAAGTAGCTATACTACTACTAGTGCAGCCTGTGGTGCTTCCTATAAAAATATCTAATTTTTCTACCAGAAGAGCTATGTAATGTAAAGTCGACCGCAGTGTAAAGGTTTAAAGTAGCATTTGCCTAAATTGCTTTTAAACTTTTGAGATGTCAGTCAGTCATAATTAAACACTGTTCCTTCAAACTGAGGTTGCTCAAACAGTTCGCAACAGTGGGTAACAATCCAACATTTTTCAGTCAGGTCATCTGGACAGTTTCTTTTTTTGTGCTGAAACGGGTGGGTAACAATGTTTCTGTCGATAACATTTCCAAAAAGTCAGACTGCAAAAATCTGAACTATTGTTTTAAGATATTTTATATGTTTCAGATCTGGTTGGGGAGCTTCAAGAGAGGCAAAGTGCAACAAATACCAGTACCGCAGCTGAACTCCTTAAACAAGGAGCAGGTAATGCGTAGTTATTCATGCAGCACAACTGCAAATCAAACTTCACACTTTTTGTAATATCTAAAATACTGTGTTTATTCTCATGCATACCTCCTGGATCTCTGCAATGGTCCAGCATGCAACGTCTTCTACCTAAACTCTGTAGAAACAGAGTCCTTAACAGGGCCGGAGGCGGTTTCCAAGGCAACCAAGTGTACCATGGCCCTGAATCCACGCCCAGTGCCAACAGTGGTCCACTTCAAAGTGTCCTCTCAAGGGATCACACTGACTGACAGTAAAAGAAGGTATCTTCTAAAGCACATTAAGGAGCACACGTGCCATTGGTAAATTTAGTGGAGGACATTTTCGGTGCATAATTTTGCCTTATTTAGACATATATATATATATACTGGTAATGAGATATTCTTGAGGTTAATTTTGAAAAAATAAATAAAATCATTACATTGCTTTTTTTTTAATTATTTGTTTGTTTTTATTTGTGCAGACTGTTTTTTAGGCGGCACTACCCAATCAGCAGTGTCACTTTCAGCAGTCTTGACCCCAAAGATCAGAGGTAGGTCAGTAAGTTATTTGAAAACATAAATACTCAAGCATGATTTTCCTTGCTGTTAAAACCACTGAGCGTGCTGGGACTGCCAGCTGTTTTTAATGAAAGTGGTAAAATCTGCCGTCTTGCTTCTGCTGTACAAACCTTTGCTTTAAGGTTATATTTTTCACATTACAAGTTCTCAATTTGAGTTTCTTGCTTGCTTTTTTCCCCTCTGAGATGATGCTAATGAACACCCAGTCTTTTTAAATGGCCTCCATCTCTTTGGTATTCATACCTTCTTACATTTTGTCTGTGTCCCCGTGTGCCCGTGCTTCAGGTGGACTAATTCTCATAGCACATCAAGCAAGTAAGTTGTGTTTATCGACTGCTGCAGTGTGCTCCTTTGCATGGCACTCAATCACAGTTTCCTGCTACAAATTAAATTTGACAGCTCTGTTAGTATTAAAGAGTATACAGTAGTACAGTAGTCCCTCATTTATCACGGTGGTTAGGTTCCAGCCCCCACCCCCGTGATAAGTGAAAAACCGTGAAGTAGCAACGTTATGTTTATTTTAGTATTTGTATATTTTTAAGGCTTTAGAAACCCTTCCCACACTCTTGCAATGTTCTAAACTCTTAAATCTATGTCATTTTAACAACATAGTACTGTATATGTAGCTAATTAATTTTACTCACCAGCTCTGCAGAACATCCACCGCTCTCGTTCTGATCCGACTGTTCTGGTCCGACCCAATTCGTTTCTGCAGACCTAACCTGCAGCGACAAGCCCACAATAATGTTGTCAACTCTTTCTTAAACCTACTAATTTTAACAACATACTTATATGTAGCTAATAAATTTTATGTACAAGGGTGTCCCCAGAGCTCGAATTGAGTCCAAAGCTGTATGAAAAAACTTCAGATGGGCTACGAAAACAGCTCTGGACCTTCGGCGCGCGTCCGCACTTGTAAGTCCTCGTGAGCCGGCTACCAGCTCTCAAGATTTACCCATGGGTCTGGAGGTCTGGTTCTGGTCCGGTTCGGTGGGTTCAGGATGGCTTCTCTGCATCCGCTGAGCGCTGATCAGATCAAAACTTTACCTCTGGTTTTTTTCAGCAGAAGGGTTCAGGGCAGGACCCTGTTGCCTTCTGGGAAATGTGGTCGTTATGAGCGGGAATATAGTAGAGGCTTACTGAGAGAAAACTACAAAATGGTGGCACCTGTCTGAAGTATTTTATTTATTCCTTAACTTTTTACTGTGCAGTACTGTATCCAGTACTTTCCCAATCATGTGAGTAATATTATCATGTCTCCTGTACAATTTAAATGTTTTGTACAATATTATGGACTGTACGTCCACAAACCGTGATAGAGCGAGTCCGTGAAAATCAAACCATGAAGTAGCAAGGTACTACTGTATATCAATATATCTTACTGTATACTGTACAATATACCGGTACTTCAAAGTCACTATTAACGGGAAAACTTTTGAAAACACAAAACACTGGCACTATGTTTACATCCACACATTACTGAGGGTTTTAAATTATATCACACTGTCCTTTTAAACAAAAATTAAACTCAATATTCTAGGGATGCACGATATTATCGACATGGTATCGGCCGATATTGACGATAAAATCAAATATTGGACATTAGCTATTCCATCAAAATAACTCACCAATACAAAAGGTGATGTTTATACTGTATATATATCTA